GAGCACGGTGAGAGAGCAAGTAGATTAGATAAGATATACCATCAACCCCCGTCCCTCCCGGGCCTCCATCCTCCTCCTCCACACCGACGTCCAACCGTCCCAGCTTCGCGTTCGAGGACCCCAACGATCTCATACACGCGCTGGCCCGCCCTTTCCAGTTGCGGCAAACACGCGACCATCAGGATCCATTGATTAATTCCTCAACTCAACTTTCCCCTTATCGCCCGCAATCACGTGGTCCCCCGCCGCTCTTTTTTTCGCGCTGATGATGCCTTTTTCATCGCTTTGATTTTGCTATTCGCCCCTCCTTCCTTCCTTCCTTCCCCTTCCTCCTCCACTCTCCCTACTCTCCCTGTTGTGTGTGGTCCCCAAAAATGGCTTACGCCACGCCCTCGCTGTCCGACAAAAAGGGTGAGGAGGCAGATGTGGACGTGCTGCGCCGCGGCAGCCTCGACACGGACGAGACCGACGACGACAAGGCCCTTGAGGAGCTGGGTTATGTGCCCTCGTTCAAGCGCGAGTTTTCTAATCTGGCTACTGTGAGTCTTGGGTCGCTCGTTGTGCGATGTCGTTGTTCGCGGAACTTGTGGAGCGTTGGGCGCTCGTGTGCCTGGGTGCTTGGGCTGCGACGACTCGACGCGCTCGGAGCGGTGGACGTAGTTGTGGCGCTGCTATCGGTACACCCAGCGTTCTGTGCAGTGCTCCATCGTATCATCGTGTACGATGAACATGCCTCTGCACTTCGCCCGCGCATCGACGTTCATATCCGCGTAGCCAATCTTCCTTACTCTTCCTCGCTGCCTCCTTCCGCGCTAGCATGCACGAACACGAACGCTAACCACACACACCCTCCCCACAGATATCCTTCGCATTCTCGATCATGGGCCTCTGCTCCAGCGTCGCCACGACGTTTAACACCCCGCTCCTCCTCGGCGGGCCCGCTAGTGTGAGTTTTTCTTCCTCGCGTTCGTGTTTGTATTCGCGTTCTGTGCTATGTGTGGTGGTGTTCGCGTTCGCGTGTTTGTATTCGCGTAGTGGGTGCGTGTTCGCGTGTTTGCGTGGTGCTGTGTGCGCGTCGCTGTAGTATTCATTCCTACACCCCACGAGTGAACGATATGCGCAATCGAGCGCGTTTCCAGTAACGACTCCGCCCGGACGGCATACCGCCGTTTCCCTCTTCCCCTCCTCCCCTCCCCCCTCCTCCTCATCAAAACTAAATTATATACGTTGCACCAAAACTCGAATCTCATAGTACGGAACGGAAAACGCTAACGCGCCCACCTGCAGGTAACATGGGCCTGGCTGCTCGGCGCGTGCATGTGCTTCACGCTCGGCGCGAGCATCGCGGAGATCGTGAGCGCGTTCCCGACGTGTGGGGGGCTGTGAGTGGTTTCGCTTTTTTTTTGCGTTTTTGGCTTTTTCGGCCTGCGCTCGTTCGTTGGTTGGTTACTTCGTTGGTTGGTTGGGCGTTTTTTTGGGGGGTTTTGGGCGCGCGGGTGGTTTTTCGTGGGATGGCAGAGGCGTTCGTGCGGTGGGAGGTGTTCGTGCCCGCACTGTCAGAGGCGGTCGTGGCACGCTATGGGAGGCGGTCGTGCATTCGTGCTGTTGGGCGCGCTCGTGCGGTGGGCGCTTCGGGATTGCGCGCGCTCCCTCTGTGAGGTGCTCGCTCGCGCGCTGTCGGGATCATTCGTTCTCGGCGCGTCCAGTCATTCCCAACGCGCCCCAAGTCGTTTTCGACGCCCCTCCATTCGTTCTCTACGCGCCTCTGGTCGTCCTCGACGCGCCCCAAGTCCTTCTCCACGCCCCTCCATTCACTCTCCTCCCGCCTTCAGTTCGACGCGCGTCACATTCCGATTCTCAACTCCTCCCCTCACCCCCGTCTTCCCCTCCCCGTCCCCATCCTCGCATACTAACACACCTCCCGAAAACAGATACACAGCCTCCGCACAGCTCGTGCCGCGGAAGCACCGCGCGCGCGTCGGGTGGGTGGTTGGGTGGTTGAATATTTTGGGTGAGTGCGCGTTTTTTTGCGTTGGGTCGATGCAAGCGCCAGTGGCGGTGGGTTGCGGTTACCGACGCACGCACTACCCCCATGCACTGACCACTCAACACAAATACGAATACTAACGAGCACCTTTCGCAGGCCAGATCGCAGGCGTCTCGTCGACAGAGTTCGGGCTCGCGGGGATGATCCTCGCCGCTGTTAATGTTGGGAAGGTGTGTCTCTTCTCGCTGCTTGTCGTTTGGCTCCTCGTTGGGCGGTCATGCGCGCGTCGCCGAATAGTCGTGCTCGTGCGCGTACCTTGAACGGTCATGCGCGCATCGCCGAGTGTCGTGCGCGTGTCGCTGAACGTGAGCTTATTCCAACGCTAACGCCCGTCCTCATCCTCGCAGAACGGCGCATACGAGGTCACGCAGGGCAAGGTCGTCGGCCTCTTCTGCGGGCTGCTCGTTGTTCATGGGTTGCTTGTGCGTACACACTCCCCCCTTTTTGACGTTGTGTCATCGTCACTAACGATGCCCTGTTCACATCAACCTCATATACCGAACTACCGTACGTCCCGTAGAACTCAATCGCGACCCGCCACCTCGCACGCCTCACCACAGGCTTCGTCTTCGTCAACCTCGGCGCTACATTCCGTACGTCCCCCCTCCCTCTCCCTCTTCTCTTCCCTCCCTCCCTTCCTCACCCCTGCCTTCCTCACCCCTTTCTCCCCCTGCTATGCCGCCAAACGCCTGCTAACCCGCCAAACGCTTGTTAACCCACCAAACGCCTACTAACCCACCCACCCTCCCAGTGATAATAATAACCCTCCTCGCCACCACCCCGCGCGCCGCCATGCACCCCCCCTCCTACATCTTCGGTTCCGCCGGGCTAATTAACCAAACCTCCGCCTCTGGTTCAGGTGGGTCATCCCCCTCCTCATCGTCGCTCTTCCCCCTCCTCATCGTCGCTCTTCCCCCTCCTCATCCTTGCTCTTCCCCCCCTCATCCTCGCTCTTCCCCCTCCCCCTCCTCATCATCGCTCTTCCCCCCGCCTCATCCTCGCTCCTCCCCTCCCCATCCCCTCGCAAGGCGGGTGGAACACGGGCATCGCGTTCCTCTTCGGGCTGCTGAGCGTGCAGTGGACGATGACGGACTACGACGCGACGGCGCATATCAGCGAGGAGGTAAGGCGCGCGGCGTATGCCGCGCCGAGCGCGATCTTTATTGCGGTTATAGGCACGGGGAGTATTGGGTGGATTTTAAACATAGTACTCGTTTTGTGTTCGGGGGATATGTGAGTGTTTTTTGTGTTTTTTGAGTGGATGGGGTGGGTGTGGGGGTGGTATAGGGGCTAATGGATGGGAATTGGGGGAAACAGAGCGGATTTGCCGGGCGATTCGGGGTCGGCGTTCTTGCAGATTATGGTGCTGCGCATGGGTACGCCGGGGGCGCTTGTTCTTTGGGTCAGTCCTCTGTCCCCGCTTGCCTATGGTGTGAGTATATTGGCTGATATGGCGCGGAATAGACGTTGGTGTGCCTCACGGCGTTCTTCGTCGCGCAGACCGCGCTGCAGGCTGCGTCGCGCACGATTTACGCGTTTAGTCGTGATCATGGTGCGTCTTCATCCCTCCTTCCCTTTCCCTTTCTCCCCCTCCTTCCCCTTTCCCCGTGCCCCCCTCGTCTCCCTACTAACACCCCCTTCCCCACCCCACCCACCCACCCCAGGCCTCCCCGACGCCGGCTTCTTCGGGCACATCTCCTCCTGGACGCAAACCCCCCTGCGCGCGATCTGGCTCGTGACGGTGGTGTCGATCCCGCCGGGGCTGCTGGACCTGGCGAGCCCGGTGGCGGCGAACGCGGTGTTCTCGCTGACGGCGATCGCGTTGGATTTGTCGTATATTATTCCGATTTTTCTGTGCGTCCCTCGTTCCCTATTAGCTCTTTACGCTACCTAACCGCCGATAAAACGCTGGTCCATGTCAACGGATAACGCGTAACATCATGCGCACACACCAGGCGCCGCGTCTTCCAACACCACCCCGAAGTGACCTTCAAGCCGGGGCCCTTCTTCATGGGCGACGGCCTCCTCGGCTGGGCCGCCAACACCACGTGCATCCTCTGGACGCTCTTCGTGTGCGTGATCTTCTGCCTCCCGACCGTGCTCCCCGTGACGGCGGAGACGATGAACTATGCGAGTCTGATGGCGGGGGGCGTGGTGGTGCTGAGTGGGGTTTGGTATGCTGCTGGGTGCGTCTGTTTTACGAAGGTTTATTTGATGAGGGGGGAGGAAGGCTAACGATGTGTGGGGTGGGGGATGTAGGGCGCATAAGCATTATCATGGCCCGCAGTCGAATCTGCATACGAAGCAGGTGCTGGCGGAGGAGAAGACCGCGTGAGGCGTCCTTCCGCGTGGATGAGGCTCTATGGAGGTGGGTGGGCCGCCCGCGCCCGGTGTACAAGCGCCGCTGTCGCGAAGTCGCTGTTCAAATTGTTTCTCTGCGCGTTCATGTACCCCTCCGTTGTACGCTGTAGCTCTTCCGGTCAAGGTCCCAACCCCCGCGGCGCCATCTGATCCCATTCCTACCCCGCGGCGCCGACCCCTACACACCACGCTACACCGACCCATTCCCACTCATACTCGCCCACACACTCATACACACTTACACTTATATCACTCACCCCGGGCGGAATCCGTTTTTTATCCTGTTATGTTTTTGTCACGGTCTAACCTATCTATTTATTCTTCGAGACTTTGCTTGTAATGGGCCTGCAGATATACTACTGACTCTTAAAATCGTGCGCGTGCTGCTTTCGACGGTCGCAGACACTGTTGGGGTCCCGTGAATGGATGTCAGGCGTCGACGCGGGCCCGCAACCTGCAGCGCGAATTTAGATGCTGTCGGCGCAAACGCCGCATAATCCCACCCCGCACTGAACGTACCTCCGCAACAAAAAACACGTCCCTAGGCCTGTATAACGCAATTAAAACGCGAAGTGCAAAACGCAAAACGAGATGACCACCGCAGGTCTCGAACCTGCAATCTCCTGATCGCGACGAATCGTAGTCAGACGCGATGCCATTTCGCCAGGCGGCCATGTTAGGGAGCGCCTTACAAGATACTATGGCCGGTGTGGACTTTTTTGTCATGATGTGCGAGGCGGGCGTTCAAGCTTCAACTTTCAACGTTCTAACGTTCGTCATATCGCGTCGACGCCAACGGTCCATGTTGGGTCCGAGGCTAGTCTATTTCAAATACGCGAAAAACGGAGGTATGTACAAGTATGCGCATGTTTGGCTGCAGCCTCCGATTCCCGACTTGACTTAGTCGCGTCACAGCTCTGGAAGCCGCTCTCACCCTCTGACTCTGACTTACACGCGAATGGCCACCTACGCCTGCATAACTGCACCTGTGCTCCTACGCAAGGCCCGGACAGATAGACAGACTATGCCGCTTATACACCGATGCGGGAGACGCAACTGGTGCGCTCACATCCGCTGTTCCTCGTTGGTCTACTGATCGTCGGCTGCAGGTCTGCTCATGGTCGCTCCTGACATGGTCCCTCGTCGCAACGGTCGGCGGTTCTGGCTACGCTCTCGGTAGTCACCAACTCCATGTCGGACACTGGCCGGCGAACCGCACGGTGTGGATGCTACTACACCACGATAACCAGTCTACCTTCTACGCCGCAACCTCGCACCCGCATGCGTGCGGACTAGTTCAAAACGTGCAGCATCGTGTGCATAACTGCCACATGCACATCGTCCACGCAGGGGACGCCTGCCTAGTAGAGTGAACGACCGCCTTCACCCTTCTACGAGGATGCCTACCGGAGACTCAGATGAATAGATTTTTCACACTGATGCGGGATAAAAAACTGTGCGTTCGTATTCGCTGCTCCCGGCTGGTCTGTTGCTCATGTTAGAATGCAGTTCTGTTGCATGTTCGCCGAGTCTAGTTGTTCGTCGCTGACCACCGTGCTGTGGTCGTCTGTCTGGCTTCGCTCCCACCTCTGTTGATGGCGTTCTCTCGCATCTGCTGTCGCCACCATTGGAGCCTCCGCTTCTGGAACACCCAAACCTCCGTTCGTCGGTCCCCGAGTCAGTCCTGTGCCTACTCTGGCATTTATCAATGACAAGTCGAACCCTGACTGGACCCCAAGGCGGCGCTCTTTGGTTTGGACACTGCACCGCTGCGATCGCTAGTCGGCGCAAAGCCCGGCCTCCTCGTCCCTGTAAGCGCGCGGACTGGCCTGAAATGTGCAGTGAGCCATGTAGAACTGCGATGCATGCACGAACACTGACCGCAAGTATGCAGAGTTGGCTGCAGGACGCAGACCGGACGGCATGCACGTTGACTGAACTGCGAGCGCTTCAGTCTGGACCACATAGCGCGAGCGACTCGATGGCTCACCAGCTTAGGCCTCCAGAGCATTGACGCTCCAGCCGTCAGTTCCCTCACCGCTCCAATCCCCAGAACATCGTCATTCCATCCATCGGCTTATCGTCAGTGCCCGTCATCGCGCCATCGCTCGTCAGATTCTCCCGCGCGCTGCGTCTTCTCTGCGATATTGCACGTTATATTGTATGCGTACAACGCTACATACACGCGCAGCTTATGCTGGTTCGTCGGCGTGCGCAGCCGCGCATCTCGTCCGCGAGCAATGTCGTGTTAACTCTTGCATGCGTCTCCACATTAGCTCGTCCGCGCGCCTGCTCGCTCGTCTGAACGGAACGCCGCGTCAACTCGTATATGCGCGTCTACACCCCAGATCGTGCTACGTCGCGCCACCGTGGCATGCAAGCTTGTGCGCACGACTCCACGGTGGCTCGTCCACGCCACTCCACGTACCTGCGTATAGCGTAACGTCATCTGTCTGCTTGCAACACCACGTCTACGTGTCCACAGGAAAGACACGTCTACGCACAACGCTAAACTTCGTAACTTCACGTTCGTTCGTTCGCGCACAAGTCCACCTCTGCCCCTCGGCGTGCAACGCTGTACGCAGCGCGATCTCCGCTCGTATGCGCGCAGGTCATTGTTTGTCCGTCAGTCCTTGCACGGCGTCATGTTGTTAGCTCGTCCACACGCAACTGCGCACTAGCTCGTGCGCATGCGAATCCACGTTCACTTATCCGCGTGCGACTCCACGCGATCGCATGTCTGCTTTCCTGTCTGCACGGAGGCGAAAGCCCACGTCAGCTCGTGCTCCACGCTAAGCTGTCCGCGCGATATTGCACGTCTGCTCGTCGGCATGCAACTCCTCGTCCGCTTACAGATGCACGACTAGTCTGCACACAACTCCACGCCATCTCGTGGCAACGCGAGTACATTCCAGACTTTGCACACACTATTGCACGTCACGTTGCGTGCATGCGACTCCGCATCCACGTCTGCAGCGTGGCATCTTTCTGTCCGCATGCCACTGGTATGTACGCGATCGCACGTTAGCCATCCACTCGCAACTGCACACTTCTCTGCCTGCGCGTAACTCCACGTCTGCGCAACTTCCCAGTGGCTTGCACTATACCGATGCGGGAGATGCAACTAGTGAGTTGATGTCTGCTGCTCGTTGTACCATTGCTGATTGTCGCCTGTAGGTCCTCTGATCATCTGTCGCATACGCCCCCATGGTCGCTCGTTGCAGTCCAACGTGATACTCACAGCCGGCTGTGATGCCACACTCTCGTCTCCATCATTGGTGTTCTCTCATGTCTGCTGTTGCTAACATTCTTTCCTCTGCTGCTAGCGGCACGCAACCCTCTGCAGCTTGATCTACAATTGCTCGAGGTATTCACAGGCAACACATTGGACCCTGGCCCATCCTGCGCTGCGCCTCAGCGTGGATACTACACCGCTAGGATAGCCAGTCTGCCTGTTGCAGGCATTCTTCCACAGCTACTACAAGCTATACAGTTGGCACCAGCACATTGTGTAGCATGACAACATGGCGGGTCTTGCACAGACTACCTGTGTTGACAGCTGCGGAGTACAATGGTACACCTGCACTCAAGGCTGGAACTGTGCTTGGGACAGTGCTATAATACTACCTTATGATGTGAATCGTGCACCTTTATGTGTCTATTGCTTTAAGATGCTATCTTGACTTACTTTCATTTTTTTGTAGCATCAACTCAAATCCAATGGTCAAAGCAAAGCATTCTATTTGTATCACTACTAGAAATCATACATGCTCCTTACAAACTGAGATACCAGCAAACTATATCTATAAATAGCAAGAGATAGTGTCAGAACTCAATAATAGTTACAAGGCCAAACTTGGACCCCATACAAAGTGTTGTAAGGTTGCCATCCTTTGGGAGATAGAGTGCAGAAACAAAACCATTTCTGTGTTCATATGGAATCCACAGATTATCTATATGGCTCTTATTTGCATGCAAGTAGCCTCTCTTATCCAGTACAAAGTATGCTCTGTTCTGACTTGATGAGTCTGCAGCCATGTCCCATATTCCAATAATACTGTCTTGTGAACCATACACAATTTTAGTTCCATCAGAAAAGAATGCTACTAGACCTGACATGCGTATAGTCTTAAAGTCATCATGCACTTTTCCTGTTGCTATGTCCCAGACTCTCATGGTTCTATCACTTGACCCTGCCACAATCTTGGTTTCATCATAGGGCAAAAGAGCTGATTTTGCCAAACCTATATAGCCTGCAAGGACATTCAAGGCTTCCCCTGTTGTTATGTCCCAGATTCTGATAGTGTGGTCACTGGAACCTGATATGATCTTATTCCCATCAGGAGAGAATGCCACTGACACCACTGAGCCTGAATGACCTTCAAGGCTTTTCAGGGCTGTTTGGGTTGCTATGTCCCAGATTATAACACTGGTTGTAAACACACCTGAGGCAATTTTGGTGCCATCAGGTGAAAATGCCACAGATGGTACCTCACCTATAGCATTATTAGTGAGACTATATGATGATGCAGTAGCCAGATCCCATATCATGACTTTGACTTTGCCTCGTAAACCTGCTGCAATCTTAGTGCCATCTGATGACCATGTGGCAGATATCACAGGCATATCACATTCCAAGACACTTTGTGTGGTTCCTGATGCTGCATCCCATATTATAATACTCTTGTCCCATGAGCATGATACAATTTTGGTACCATCAGGTGAAAATGCCACAGCCAGCACCCAGTTTGAGTGTCCTTGATCTGGAGTACTGGAGGCAGTCTCTGCTCCTACTTCCCATATTCTCAATGTTTCATCATTTCCACCAGACACAATTTTAGTCCCATTGGGTGAGAATGCTACTGAGCGCACATAGTATGAGTGGCCTTTAAAAACAGATTGAGTAGCACCTGTTGCTGTGTCCCATATCCTGACAGTTTTATCATTGGAGCTAGATGCAATCTTGGTACCATCAGATGAGAATGTCACACATGTGACACCATCTGTGTGGCCTTCCAGGCTGTTTTGAATTTGGCCTGTTGCTACAACCCATATTCTAATTGTACAGTCCATTGAGCCTGACACAATTGTGGTTCCATCTGGTGAAAAAGCTACAGATGTTACAAAATGAGAATGTCCTCTCAGAGTGATATCAATTCCTCTAGTAGCCACATCCCAAATTCTAATTGTGTTGTCATGTGAACCTGACACAAGTCTGGTACCATCAGGAGAGAATTCTATGCATGAAACACCATGTGTATGGTCACTAAGAACATGCTGAACATTTCCAGTGGCCACATCCCAGACCTTAACAGTGCAGTCTTCTGAGCTTGATGCAAGCTTTGACCCATCAGGTGAGAATGCCACAGACTGCACAAAATTTGAATGTCCCTCAATGACATTCAAGATTGTTCCTGTCTCTGCATCCCATATTCTGATTGTCTTGTCTTTTGAGCCTGATACAATCTTAGTGCCATCCATTGAAAAAGCTGCTGATTGTACAAAATGAGTATGTCCTTTTAAAACACTCAAGGCTGTTCCTGTCACAGCATCCCATAATTTGATGGTACGATCATCTGAACTTGAAATGATTTTGGTTCCATCAGGTGAAAATGCCACTGATGTTACACATCCTAAGTGGCCCACTACACTACGGAGAAATGGGTTCCAGTA